CTCTCTGCGCTCCTCCTGTCCCGCTGCCCTTATGCTGTCCCATGCCCCCATCACGCTGCCCCCCATCTGTCCCTCTGTACTCCTCCTGTCCCTCTGCGCTCCTCCTGTCCCGCTGCCCCTATCCTGTCCCACTGCCCCCCACCTGTCCCTCTGCGCTCCTCCTGTCCCACTGCCCCTCACCTGTCCCTCAGTGCTCCTCCTGTCCCACTGCCCCAATTCTGTCCCATGCCCCCCGTCATGCTGCCTCTCACCTGTCCATCTGCGCTCCTCCTGTCCCACTGCCTTTTATTCTTTCCCATGTTCCCCGTCATGCTGCCTCTCACCTGTCCCTCTGCGCTCCTCCTGTCCCACTGCCCCCCACCTGTCCCTCTGCACTCCTCCTGTCCCACTGCCCCTCACCTGTCCCTCTGTGCTCCTCCTGTCCCACTGCCCTTCACCTGTCCCTCAGTGCTCCTCCTGTCCCACTGCCGCTCACCTGTCCCTCTGTGCTCCTCCTGTCCCACTGCCCCTATTCTGTCCCATGCCCCCCCCCCCGTCATGCTGCCCCCCATCTGTCCCTCTGCTCTCCTCCTGTCCCACTGCCCCTCACCTGTCCCTCTGCACTCCTCCTGCCCCACTGCCCCTCACCTGTCCCTCTGCGCTGCTCCTGTCCCACTGCCCCTATCCTGTCCCATGCCCCCCATCATCCTGCCCCCCACCTGTCCCTCTGCGCTCCTCCTGTCCCACTGCCCCTCACCTGTCCCTCTGCACTCCTCCTGTCCCACTGCCCCTCACCTGTCCCTCTGCACTCCTCCTGTCCAGCTGCCCTTATGCTGTCCCATGCCCCCATCACGCTGCCCCCCATCTGTCCCTGTGTACTCCTCCTGTCCCTCTGCGCTCCACCTGTCCTGCTGCCCCTATCCTGTCCCATGCCCCCAGTCATGCTGCCCCCCACCTGTCCCTCTGAGCTCCTCCTGTCCCACTGCCCTTCACCTGTCCCTCTGTGCTCCTCTGTCCCCTGCCCCAATCCTGTCCCATGCCCCCCGTCCCGCTGCCCCCCACCTATCCCTCTGCACTCCTCCTGTCCCTATGCCCCTCACCTGTCCCTCTGCACTCCTCCTCCTGTCCCACTTCGCTCCTCCTGTCCCATGCCCCCCTGTCACGCTGCCCCCCACCTGTCCCTCTGCCTCCCCACCCATCACACTGCCCCCCATCATCCTGCCCTCCCCCTGTCACTCTGTCATCCGTAAGGTTGATTACCAGTCCATACAGTTCAACCCATGTGTGTGAGTGTGTATATGTGACTAATATTTTCCATATCCTTGTGTTCACTAAGAAACACATCTAAAAGTTTTTTTAATTTACACTCCCCACGGATACCACTAACTGCAGATTGGAGACCCACATCCATAATGCACTAATAGTAAAGATCCCCTTACGCAGTTTAAGATTGAATCACTTCTTGTCCAAATTCATTTCTTTTTCATAAACCATAGGTAAAATAGTTTCCTCTCAATGCTAGAGTCAACACTGTAAGATTTGTATATTGCTGTCATATCCCCACTTAACACCACATAATAATACATTTAAAGGTTATAGCCATTTCAGCCTCTTTTTTTGCTTTGCTGCCCTTCTCGGGACTCTTCCCGGTTCAAACACATTCTTCCTGAGGATCGGTTGCAGAGCTAGACTGCATACGCAAGATGTTCCAGAGTTTTGTAAAGTGGTAGAATTATAGTTTTATCCATTGAGAAAATGCCCTTTTTAATGCCTGCTAATTAATCCAGACTCTGCCATTGTTGGCAGTAAAATGTAACATTTTACCAAGTCTGCTCCACACCAAAATCCTTAGGGATATATACGCTTTAAAAGTAGATCATATATTTTTCTACATAGTTTGTCCTGTCAACTCTTTCCTTCTGGATAACACCCTCTTTTCTGAATCACATGGCTATCACCTATTCCCCATTGTGGCTCTTCATTAACTCTCTCTCTGTATGGTGCAATTAACTATAAATAGGTGGTATCACAGTGTGAAAAAGAAAAAAAAAATCTTGTTAGCCTTCCCTTTCCTTTATGTGCATTTATAAGATTATGCTAGAAAAGAGTGCCTGCTTACTAGTTCAGGAGCCCTTCACAGGACAGCCACACATGAGTGACCAAACAGAAACAGTGTGAAATATAATAAGCAATGAGGAAATCAGAGTGGGTTTCTAATCTTTCAGGAATGGTCTAAATTTATGTATAACAACCCAACAGAGTTTTGCTCAGAGAGATTTTTTTTGCCCCCTAACTCTTTATTCTTATTATTTAGCAGTGTGTGTTTTGTAGTAAGCTGCGCCAGACAGAGGGCACAGGGAACTCTCACGCCTCAATGAACTGCTGAGAAATATAAGCAGAAACAATGTGCTGTGAGCAGCAGTCATGGCACAACCCAGTATCAAAGAAATAGATGTTTTTGATCAGGATTTTTTTCCAAAAGCCTCTCCTGTGTGATGCAGATGGAGAAGAGAAAAGGGGAACCCAATAACTGTGTGCACTGTCACCTGTTTACCCAATCCTGTTAAAATCCTTATGCGGAAAATAAACTGAGACTCCTCTTGGTCCTGGCCCTTTGAAGTACATTTGCTTTTGTTCTTTACCTAACTTGATGCCATTTTTCACAGGCTAATTTGTATTCAGTCCTAGTACTTTCTGCCACCCACAATTCCATCTGAGAGAGTTTGCAAGCACAGATGATGTCATTACTGTAAGAAAAGTACAGCTCCATTTCATTCTGGCACAAGAGTCATCTGTTATTTTGACATGGAAAACATGGAAAGGGGTATAAAGAAGCTGAAAAGGAATATATCACTTTTTTATTGTTTCTCCTTGTTTTATTTATATTTCAAAATGACTCAAATTTTTTTAAAACCAATGGCTTTGTTACTGCTGTAATTATTAACGTGACTGTGGCTGAAATCTTTGTATTATCTTTAATAGAAATCTGGTATTATAAACACAGTATAAAGACCCATCCACCGAAAATCTGACATTCCAGTTATAGGTGAACACTGGTGGGTTATTATCAACTGTCTTTTTCCAGCTTTTGGGGATTGCTGGGCTGAAAGTTCCACTGTCCACATTGCAGTGCTGTGTGTTTAACATTGAGTCACAAGACTTTCTAAAATTGGAGGAGTCTTAGCCAAAAACCTTCAAAAAAGGAGCTGGAAGCAACAAATAAACAAAAGTGAGTGCAGCTCAGGATCACTTCAGCTCATGATAGACCCAGAAATATAGGTAAAGCAATGCAAATAGAATAATAATAATAATAATAATAGTAATAATCTATCAATCTAACCATTCAGTCATATCCGACCCTTGGCGATTACATGGACTGTCACTCGTAAGCGACTTTTTCCATGAATTCTCCCAGCAATTATTTTACAGGGTAGGCTGCGAGGTCTTTCCCCAACTCCTACCATGCATGAAATCCCACGTGGCCTGGGATAATAGTAATAATACCAATAATAATAATAATAATTTGTGTTTCTCTAGAAATACCTAGATTGTGTTTTCAATAAATTCCATAGTGGTTCTGCACATATTCTATTTATTTAATATGTACAGGGGTCAGCAACCCATTGATCACAATTTACCTGTTGATCGGGAGCAAGTGATGGGTAGATTGCATCCTTTCATTGCCAGGCTGCTCCTCTCACATGTACAGAGTGGTGCAGGGAAGGGACAAATTAGTATGCTGTGCCACTGACAAGCAGTAGGAAGGGGAACTTGGACAGGAGGGCCAGAGGGAGTGGCATTTACTGGAACTGGTATTCAGTCCCAACATGTGAATTTGGTGCAATAGTGCTTTATCCTTAATGGTGAACCTTCATACTGAGGTGACAAGTGCTTCACTGTGCTCACACTGGTGCCCCATATAGATTTAAACTCACCGTCATTCCACGACCACCTATCTCTAGGTTGGTCAAATGCACTTTTGGGACTATCCCAGTATGCAACGTAGTAATGTTGACCGATGTTCCTTCGCAACTTTAACCGTTGTTGTTAACGGTAACCTATGACCCTCCACTGGGGCTGCATCAATGATAGAAAGCTCCTCTCCTTCACAGGCAGTAATTCAAATTCTCAGCATAAAATAAAACAAAACCGGACATCTCATAGTGTAAAACAGTATAAGCTTTAACCACTTGCCTATCGGGCACTTATACCCCTTCCTGCCCAGGCCAATTTTCAGCTTTCAGCTCTGTCACACTTTGAATGACAATTGTGCCTTCATGCAAGATTGTATCTATATGAAATTTTTAACCTTTTTTTTCTCATAAATAGAGCTTTCTTTTGGTGGTATTTAATCGCTGCTGAGTATTTTACTTTTTGCGCTATAAACAAAAAAAATTGCAAAAAATTTTAAAACAAAAGTTTCTTTATTTCTATTATAAAATTTTGCAAACAGATAATTTTTCTCCTTTACTGATGTGCGTTGATGAGGCAGCACTTATGGGCACTGATGATGTGCACTGATAGGCAGCACTGATGTGCACTGATAGGCAGCACTGAAGGGCACTGATAGGCAGCACTAATGAGGTGGCACGGATAGGCGGCACTGATGATGGGTACTGATAGTCAGCACTGATAGGCGGCACTGACTGGCGGCACTGCTGGGCATTGACTGGCGCAACTGCTGGGTACTGACTGGCACAACTGCTGGGGACTGGCGGCACTGCTGGGCTGCACTGATGGGCACTGGTGGGTGGCACTGGTGAGCACAGGTGGGTGGCACTGCTGGGCACAGGTGGGTGGCACTGCTGGACACAGGTGGGTGGCACTGCTGGGCACAGGTAGGTGGCACTGCTGGGCATAGGTGTGTGCACACTGGTGGGTGGCACAGGTGGGTGGCTGGGCACAGGTAGGCAGCACTGCTGGGCACAGGTGGGCGGAACTAGTTGGTGGCACTGCTGGGCACCGATCGTCAGGGCACTGATTATCAGTGCCCTGATGATCGGTGCCGATCCCTGCTCTGACAACTGCTGGTTCTCAGCAGTACTTTCCTCATGCTTTGACAGTATGAGGAAAGTGCAGCCGAGAACCGGCAATTGCATTTCCCTGTGATCAGCGTGTCATTGGACACGGCTGATCACATGGTAAAAGGCCGCTGTGATTGACCTTTTACCACATCACGTGATCAGCTGTGTCCGTAGGACACAGTGAGCATGAAGATCGCCGGGTGAGCGCCCCCGGGGGCACGCAGGAGGGCGCGTTCTGGGAGGATGCCATATGACGTCCACCCAGAACTGGCCAGCCGCAGTGCAGCCACCATTCAGCCATCTGCGGTCAGCAACTAGTTAATAATGGGGTCAAACAATAAAAATGCCACTCACAAAAAAGTGCCTTTCCTGGCAGTAGGTGTATGCAGCCTTGTTGTATATGAATGGAAGTTAAAATGGCCGCCGCATTCCGGCATGCGTCCCAAAGGGTGGAAGTGATGCCGGCAGAAGTTGCGTCATCACACCTTGACACGTTTCGATCAATAGACCGTCATCAGGAAATGTGTCGAGGTTTGATGACGCAACTTCCGCCGACATTACTTCCACCCTTTGGAACACACACTAAATTTGAAAAACCACTGGCACCAACCAATGCCCAACTAACATCATCCTCTGCTCTACTGACATCATCAACTGCCTTACTGACACCATCCTCTGCCATTCTGACACTGTCTGCTGTCTTACTGACACCATCCACTGCTCTGCTGACACTGTCCACACACCATCCACTGCCCTACTGCCTGACACTATCCACTTTTAATTCAGAGTTCAGATAGAAGTCCACCTCTCAATGGTTGCCTACCCCTGATCTAGAAAAACTAAAAAAAAAATAATAGTAATCAGGTATACATCAAAAATTGTACTGTATATGTATAAGTTACATTCTAGTTGTAAGCCAGAAGATAACCTCTATTGCATGTTTACAGGCTCCTAGTAGCATGTCTGTAGTTTACAGACTTAACTTGTTCTAGACAGCAGAACGCATATATGAGGCCTCATGAAAAGTGGACCTTAACCCCCATCCACCTCGCATACAGTATGTGTCTATGGCAGCCTGAAGTTGTGTGCTCAGCACGCACTCAATGCACGCTTCCAGCACACTGACCAAGCTATCTCCCAAAACATTTGATCATGGCTTCTAACTGGGATATAGCAGGACAGAATCTTGATCATGTGTCCACTGTGAGGGCCATCCAGCATTAAAGTCAGCTTAGAAGGCTCCTGGGGGACAGCAAAAAAGGGTAAATTAATGTTTTAATTTGCTTAGTAAAGTTAATGAAACATCCCAGTACCACATTCAGCCAGCTAGGGCCAAAATTTCAGTCAGTCAAACTTAGGGAAGGCAGTCACTGCTGTGCTGTTTTGTTAGCTAACTCATAATGGTCATTGAATGTTTTGTCTTTTTTATATGTTAATTAGTAAAACACAAATTGTATATATGCTATGTAGTTAGACAACATATAAAACAACAGATTTAAAAATGTAAAACCACTGGCATCTTCTGTTGGTAATAACTGTAGGGTTCAGACTTCTTCAGCCTTAACGTCATATGTTGAGATGTACATTTTAAAGCTCTACATATAATATATACTATATTGCCAAAAGTGTTGTGACGCCTGCCTTTACACACGTATGAACTTTAATGGCATCTCAGTCTTAGTCCGTAGGGTTCAATATTGAGTTAGCCCACCCTTTGCATCTTCTGGGAAGGCTGTCCACAAGGTTTAGGAGTGTGTCTATGGGAAGGTTTGACCATTCTTCTAGAAGCGCATTTGTGAGGTCAGGCACTGATGTCAGATGAGAAGGCCTGGCTCGCAGTCTCCGCTCTAATTCATCCCAAAGATGTTCTATCGGGTTGAGGTCAAGACTCTGTGCAGACTAGTCAAGTTCCTCCACCCAAAACTCTCTTATCCATGTCTTTATGGACCTTGCTTTGTGCACTGGTGCGCAGTCATGTTGGAACAGGAAGGGGTCGTCCCCAAACTGTTCCCACAAAGTTGGGAGCATGAAATTGTCCAAAATATCTTAGTATGCTGTCGCCTTAAGAGTTCCCTTCACTGGAACTAAGGGGCCCAGCCCAACCCCTGAAAAACAACCCCACACCATAATCCCCCCTCCACCAAACTTTACAATTAGCACATTGTAGTCCGGAAAGTACCGTTCTCCTGGCAACCACCAAACCCAGACACGTCCATCAGATTGCCAGACAGAGAAGCGTGATTCGTCACTCCAGAGAACATGTTTCCACTGCTCTAGAGTCCAGTGGCGGCGTGCTTTACACCACTGCGTCTGACACTTTGCATTGCACTTGGTGATGTAAGGCTTGGATGCAGCTGCTCGGCCATGGAAATCTATTCCATTAAGCTCTCTACACACTGTTTTTGTGCTAATCTGAAGGCCACATGAAGTTTGGAGGTCTAAACTATTGACTCTGCAGACAGTTGGCGACTGCTGTGCACTGTGCGCTTGAGCATGCACTGACCCCACTCTGTCATTTTGAGTTGCTGTTGTTCCAAAGTGCTTCCACTTTGTTATAATACCGCTAATAGTTGACCGTGGACTATTTAGTAGGAAAGACATTTCACGGATGGACTTATTGCACAGGTGGCAACCTATCACGATACTACACTTGAATTCACTGAGCTCCTGAGAATGATGCATTCTTTCAAAAATGTTTGTAGAAGCAGTCTGTATGCCTAGGTGCTTGATTGTATACACATGTGGCCTTGGAGGTGATTAGAACACCGGAATCCAATGATTTTGGCAATATAGTGTATATGTATATACAATACCATATATACTATATATATATATATATATATATATATATATATATTTGCATGTATATTGCATATATATTGCCATAAGTTGTATTAGGTTAATAAAAATACAAAAGGCAAAACAACAAAGTTCTAACTTCCTTATTATGTTTAGAATTCCTGTTAATTCTATTTACATGGTTTCTTCTGTAGCAAGTAGAATATCAGATTTGATTTTCTTTGTAAAAGTGAATTTTGGTGTTATTTGGGGATGGCAGTTAGTGAACTATAATAGAGACTCAACTATATTTGGCATTAAAAAAAATATAATTATAATCATGTTTAAAGGATAATTTCACCTTCGGAACATGTTACCATAGCTGCAGCCATGATCGGTGTCCCCCTCCCTCTGACAGATAGTACAGGGAGAAGTTTCCCCATACTAGCTGTCAGATTTGAAAACAGCGTGGCCGTGGGGGGTTCCGCCCACATGGTCACATCTTTCATTCACGGACTGCCTTAGCAGCTGTGGGCTTGTAGTTTTCAGTGAACTACCACGGTGCTGTGGAGTGCCGTGGTAGTTCAATAAAGCTTCCTGTCAGAATATATGCTTGCTCGTACATCCCGTACAGCAAGCAGATATTCTGACAGGTCTGCAGGGGACCTGCATGGCATCAGCAATCTACTGATCGCTGTCGCAGTGCTTTCCAGGCTCATTTCGGACAAAAATAATAAATGCTCATTGTTTTACCTGCAAAGAAAATGTGCATTTATTTTTGTCCAAAAAGGTGAACTTATCCTTTAATCATGCAACAGAACAAAAAATAATGTTTTAATGTTAATATTCATAAATTGAAGCACTTCGTAAACTAGTATGGGAGCATAGCATATACTGTAGGCAAAGCAGCCTTACAAATATAAGAAGCACAGGTAACTATAAAGTAGGTAAACACTATAATTAAATGTGCCTAAATATGTGAAAAAAAAAGAATTCTAATCATAAGTAATTGCAGGAATATACTCAGTATATCAGATCATGAAATGAATTTACTCAACATCCACCTATCAATAAAGAGTTGGTGGGTTGTGTTGCTGCGGAATACACTACAAATATAAGCAGCACTTAAGAAGAGCTAGCATATTGAAAAGGCAAAGTGACCATTGCCCAATATTCCCCATATTATGCTTTTTTTGTGCCTTGGTAAAAGAGCAACAGATGAATAGGTGCCCTCCTTTGGGTCAAGGGTAATCCATTGGTCATGGCAGGGTATAGTTTGCTCATGGAGGTCAAAGAGTAAACATACAAGTGGAAAGAGTGGTAGGAATTTCATTGCAAAGAGAGACAATTAAGCTGTATAAGAAAAGGTTTACTCAATAACTTCTATAGTTTCATAAGAGGTTCAGATGATTTGACAATCTTTTGATTGTTGGTTCAAAAAGGCAGTATAAACATTTCCTTACAAAAATTGTGTTTAGCACTTACTTTTTTATTTAGGAATACCATTACATCATACAGAAATTAAGAGAAACAAATATATTGCAGCTGCCAACACAAGCTAAAATCATGGTCCTATGAATATGGTTTTTATAAATATGTTTATGTTTGCACACTAGTTTACCATGCATACAGTAAAATACACCTACCCCTAATAGGGAAGCTATGCTTTAATACCATCATCAGCACTATCATAAGTGGATTTACAGGTATACAGTAAGCACATGTACAACATAGGTTTATGACAATTTTATAAAGGAAATTAGCAGATTAACAAATAGGAATCATGTTTCTAAATAAATATATAAATCCCAAAGTCAATAATAATCAAAATGAAGCATCATTACAAATCAGAATTTCATAATAAAAAAGTTGGAAGATTTGGAGGGGCAAAATGTTTGATAATCTGTATGACTGGTAAAACCAAATTATGTTTTTAATTCCCATTAGTAATCATGTGTGCAATTCATTTTTATTGTTGTGATTTATGCTGCACACAACATGGCAATGGCATTGTTTCTATTTTTGTACCTTTTATACTGTATTTGTGCATTCTTGTGTTTAATTGTTTTACTTATATTCCTAATAATTTCTTAAAGTTTTAAGCCATCTTTCTCTTTTGAGTTTTGAATAGAATAGGAATAGTAAGAATTTCTGTAAAGTTTTTATTTCTTCCAGTGAACCCATAGGGGAGAGTTTCCCTCATTTCCTGTCACCATGATGCCTGTCCAAGAAATGGGAGGTATGGTCATTTTTGGTCAACAGAACAGGAGCTGCACAGACCACAATTAAAATGTCAGAAGCTCTTCCCTACACTACTAAAAATGTGTGTACCAGTTGGAGAACTTGTCTATCATTTGCTGTCCTGACAGGAAGTAAGGGGAAAT